ACCTCCCCCCCAAGCCCAATCCTCGACCTCCATTTACGTACTGAACAATTTTATCTTCATTTGTTGTTTTTCCTTTTGCAGCGTGTAAAAATGGCAGTGAGTTTCAGTTTAGTTGGAGCATTCAAAGGACTCTCTTTAGCTTCTTCCTCTTCTTTCCTTAAAGGTGACTTTGGTGCTGCTTTTCCCGTCGCTCCAAAGTTCTCGGTCTCGTTTCCGTTGAAATCTCCGTTGACAATTGAGTCTGCTCACAAGAAAGGAGCTGGTAGCACTAAGAACGGTCGAGATTCTCCTGGTCAGAGACTTGGTGTCAAGATTTTTGGTGACCAAGTTGCCAAGCCCGGTTCTATTATCGTTCGCCAGCGTGGTACTAAGGTCTCAATTTTTACTTCTTGTTATGGGTTTCCTCTATTTTCTGCCAATTTTTGCTAAAAGTTCATATTTTTGTATGTATTTTCACGACTCTGTCGGATTATTTATATTTAGAATCAGCCATTCGGTGTGCATAATTAGAAAGAATAGAAATGCTATTTAAGGAATAAACTATGGAGATACAGTAAAAGGGGTTGCTTGTGGGCTATACAGGCTGCCACGATTTTAAAAAAGGAGTAGAGGTGTGTTCTTCAAATGAAGGACTGAATTAACAAATAAATCCACTGGAGAAAGGTTGGGGGTTGTAGCTCAGAGCTAAAGACCATGGTGTCTGGAGTATAGTCCCTTCATGTTCTGAGAAATATTTATCATCTGAAAATAGGAAAAATGGACTCTTTGTCTAAAGAAACACCTTTATCACTATTGGATATATTTTATCTCTTCTTATTTTTTCCGTTTGTCTTGCTTTATACTCGTTCTAGTTTTGGACTTTATAGGTCTGAATATCTCTTATAATTTGCGATTGTTTCTCATTTCTTGATTTTGGTAGAAGTAGATCGTTCCATCTCTTTTGTTCCGGGAATGTGCACAAAATTAGCCATTTCCTCAGCTAGTGTCTCTGAAGTGTTATATTTTGTAGTGAGGATGTCTCCTTTTGGCAATCATTGTGATTTCAAGCTTGCGTAGACTATCAAGTTAGTTCTTTAGTGAAGTCCATAATAGAGACAAGTAATTGGTGTCTAGCTACACAAGGTTGTAGGTTGATGATAAACAATTGGTCCTCTACAATGCAGTTTGCTCTTTTGCAGTTAGGGGTTTGCACTAAAGAATGCTTACATCTTCCTTATAAATTGTGGTATGGAAATTGTGATAGTTTATTTGATTGAACAAGTGGTGGTTGAAATGAATTTAGATGAACCACCCAAGTAGAGTGTGGTTCTATGCAATTCCAGTTTCGCAGCTCAATGCCACACAAACATATATGTGCCTACTAGGTCCTGAACTCCTGTCGATTTCCTTCAATCTTCTGACCTTCAGCATTGGTTTGTATTTTATTTGTCGGATATCTGTGGATTTCCTTAAGGCAGATTGTCTACAAAATGAGGTGGAAGATAACGGGAGTTGTTGTCATTAAAAAGGAAAGATGTTAGAACTCTAACGTTCTGGGCCCTGATATCTGACCTTCATTAAACATTATAGAAAGTTGTCTGGATGGAATGAGAGAAGCAGTTGTAATTGGCTCTAAACATTTCTCTGAGATCAAGACGTGAATCTTTTGATACTTTAAGGCTCGATGCTTGTATAAAGGTGAAACTTTCTGATAATGTAATGCTTACGCTGAGCTGCATAATGGGTATAAAGGAGTTGATGCCAATGGTTGGAACATTATTTTCTGCTCAGATTTGCCCCTGTTATTATTGGCTTGTTTGCTTTAAGATTAGTTCAAAAATTGCATTCCTCCATTTAGCATTGCTATGTATTCTGTTTTCTTGCTGATATACCAATCATCCCTTGGTGATTTTTCCAGTTCCACCCAGGAAAGAATGTTGGACTTGGCAAGGATCACACGATCTTTTCTTTGATTGATGGACTAGTCAAATTCGAGAAGTTTGGGCCTGATAGGAAAAAGGTTTGAGTTCTCTTGCTCACTGCTTGTATTTTGTGGTCACACCAGTGTGATTAACTGATACTGAATGTGAATAAATGTGCAGATAAGTGTTTATCCACGTGAGGTGCAACCTGAAAACCCCAACAGTTATAGAAACCGAAAGAGAGAGTCCTTCAGATTACAGCGTGAACGCAGAAAGGCTCGACGAGAGGGCGTCATCCTTCAGCCTCAGTTGATACTTGCTTCTGCTGCTGCTGAATCCTCTGAGGACAATGCCAGTCCTACTTGCTGATATTGGTCTTTTGATGTTTAACAATTCTGTGGTCATTTTGGTTATTTGTTAGCATTCACTTTGGAACATATGTAGGCCACATTTCTACATTGTGCTTCTGCCATTGATGTCTTTTGTTTGTAAATTTTGCATTACTCAAAGCATGAGACCTTGTGACAGGTTGCATAAATACAGAGTGAAATGTCTAATCCTGATTCTTTACTCCTTTACAAAATTGGCTGTATAATTCTTATTTCCTTTCTGTCTAGGGCTAAATTCCCTTCAAATGCAAGACACCCAACTGATAAAAGTCATAAAGACAATGATATTTCTAGGTGGCCTCAAGCACAGAGTTAAACTACTTCAATGTGGGTAACAGGAAAAGGGGAGCCTAGGGGAGCCGCGTGACCAGGAGGTCACGGGTTCGAGCTGCGGAAACAGTCTCTTGCAGAAATGCAGGTTAAGGTTGTGTACAATAGACCCTTGTGGTCCGGCCCTTCCCCGAACCTCGCGCATAGCGGGAGCTTAGTGCATAGTGCACCGGGCTGCCCTTAATGTGGATAACAGGAGACTTTGAGTTTTTCTAGAACTCATTATTTCAGCAAGCCAGTATGATTAAATACAGTAAGGTGGTCAATACAAGGGACTGGAACACAAAAATATGCTTTAAGATCAGGTTGTAGGCTATAAGCTAAGAGAATGAGACCCTTGGTCTAAACAGCAAAGGTATCTCCCCCTGTTCTTTACTGCTTGATCTCAGCCTGGAGTTGTGCTAATAGTGATGGCTTGCAGTGTCACCTCCCTATGGTCTCGGAAGCATAAGCTCATTGATAGTGTCTTCTGGAAAAATCAAATTTCTACCCCTGTTTCATGTGATGGATGAATTATCCACGAGATTTTCCATACAGATGAGCATATACAATCTTTGTTCGATGTACCAGAATCATGCTTAGGACAACTGCAATAATGCAGAGTCCAGACATTATCATGGAAGTAAGGAAGAAACATATAGCACCTTCACACTTCAGAGGTTCATCTACAGAAAGAAAGCTAGACAAAACTGATGCCAAATTTGATTCAGTGCCACGATACTCATTGGCCTGCTTTGCAGCTTCCATATCATATATACTACTAGCAATAACACCAGAGAATACCATTGAACCAGCAGGATTTGCAAGAGTGAGGAAATTGTATAAAGCCCCAAAATTTCTCAAGCCAAACAATTCAGAAGCTGCAGCTGGCACGATCGCCCAATGAGCCCCATAACCTAGTCCAACTAAAAGAGTACCAATGTGCATAGCTCCAGGCCAACCCATAGCAAAGAAGAAATGTCCAATGGCCATTATGGCTTGAGCAACAGCCATTGCTGCATGTCTCGGATAGGCATAACCCCTGTTGTAAAAAGAACAATGTTATACGAGAAAAGTTTTCTTAGAATTGAACATTCATGTAAACTTCTGTTAATGCCACGACAAGTAAGAAGTGAATGTCATTACCCAATGGCGGAGTCACATAGCTCCGAGGAGTGTCAAAATTGACACCCCTTCATCGGAAAATTATATTATTTAGATAGGTAAAAGTTTATGTTTTTATGTATATATACTATGCGTTGAATCCTCTTACTTCTTCGTATATTAACTTTATAAAATTTTGACAACCCTTAACGAAAATTCTGACTTCGTTTCTGCATACCTGACTATAATTTCAGAAAAGTATCCACCTCCAATCCGGCCGAGGAAATTCCATATGCTGATCATGGAAACAAATACATGTGTGTTATCATATCCTAAAGATTGGCTTATCTGACCCAAGTTATCGATCACAGTCAAACCAGATCCCGAACCAAAAAGTAGTGAGAAAAACATAAGCCAAAAATCTGCCTTTATTAAAGCCTGCATTAAGGTGAAGTCCTCTCCCCTATGAGGTCCCCTTCTTCTTTTGATCCTCACTGCTCCTTTTGCAGCTGCTTGAGCTAGTTTTGCTTGTAGTTGCGCGATTCTTTTTTGCCTTTCTGAAGCTGGAAGCGCGTCCACTTCCTTAGGCTTCTCGTCTTCCACTTCACTAAATATAATTTCATGACCATCACCATGCTCAGATTTGCCAGTTTCTTGTTTCTTTGACTCAGATAGAAGTCCCTCTTCTACAGGTTCTCTTGGATCTTGAAAAAAACTCGAGCAGATAGGGATCACGATAGGAATTGCCAAGAGGATAAACAATATAGCCGTGAAGATTGTAATGACAGTGTGGCTCAAATCAATGAGGTCTTCAACAAGCATAACTCCCATCAAATAAGAAGCCAAGAGGAGGCATATGCTGTAAATAAACGAAAAACTTAAACCATCCGAAGGCCTGACTTGTTTGTGGCCTCCAACAGGCCTGATTATAAACATGAGCGCGATAATTACCATTGCTGGTCCAACAGCTATCATAAATATAAGTGAAGCATGATTTGGAGAATGGATCACTGCATATATCTGTGTCAAAATTGCACCACCCAAACCTGCAAATCCCTTAAGTATCCCCACCACAGGGCCGCGACTTTTAGGGAAATTTTGCACACATGACACCAGAGCTGCTGTGTTGAAGTAGGTCTCGCCATTTGTTCCAATAAATATAAGAATACACATCTGGAAAGAAGCAGCTAAAACTATGTCAATTGCTAGATCAAACTAGGAGTCCACAACACTGCATGATCAACATGGTCTGAAAATAAGTGAGTTTGATCCTATGTTGCACGGACTCTCCAAAATGCTACCGCACCCGTGTCGGATCCTTAAAAAATGCACTACTTTTGGAGATCCGACACACAACTGGCGTCATTTTCGAAGAGTCCAAGCAACATAACTTTAACGGAACATGTTCAAATGAATGACTGGACATTCTAGGAGAAGCAAATCAGTTTCACAAGGCAATATTCAAATGTAAATCAATTAAAATATCTATTTACAGTCTAAAATTGTTGTTAAACAAGAAAATAAGCATAGTTCTTGTCTGATGAAGAAAATTGGATAAATATCAAGATATGGAGCACTTTCTATTACTAACTGATGCAAAAGCGAACAGGACTGCAAAATAAAAGATTAAAAAGCACTTCCAAGGGGTTTTCACTAAGAAAAGTTTGTCACTTGGATAAACATCTAAACCTGTGCAACCTTATACCTTCTTGGCCTATAAATTCAATGTATAGCACCCAAAATAGGTTTTAGTAGACTACTAATGAATGGATATAAGTTTTGTACATTAAAAAGGGCAGCCCGGTGCACTAAGCTCCCGTTATGCGCGGGGTTTGGGGAAGGGCCGGACCACAAGGGTCTATTGTACACAAACTTACCTTGCATTTCTGCAAGAGGCTGTTTCCATGGCTCGAACCTGTGACCTCCTGGTCACATGGAGACAACCTTACAGTTAAGCCAAGGCTCTCCTTCTAGTTTTGTACACTGACGGCGTATATAAAGAATTTTTACACTATCGATGCAATTTAACCAATATAGCAGGTTATCACTCTATTTTTCATGTTACCATATTAAACTTGATATAAAGAATTACCAATTGTTACCTATTGTTGCAGGTCATATTTACCCGATGGTGAAAAAAATAATATACAAATAACTTAAATTCATAAAAAATTTAACAAGCGGATTTACCATACCCATAGATAATAGAAAGGACAGTAACAGAGTAGACCTTTTCAACTAAAAAAGAGTAGCTTGGTGCACTAAGTTCCCCCTATGCGCAGGGTTCGGGAAGGGCCTATACGCAGCCTTACCCTACATTTATGTAACAGGCTGTTTTCACGGCTCGAACCCGTGACCACATGGTAGCAACTTTACCAGTTACACCCAACGCTGCCTTCACCTTTACCTTTTCAACTAAAAACTACTAGAAATTAAGAATGAAAGTTTGGTCTTTCTGAAATCAGAATTAAACAGATGAGATGAAGATAAAAGATGAGGTACTCACAGCCCATAATGGCAAAGAAGGAGCTCGAGAAGTGACAATGAGCCAAACCCAACCATAGCCAACGAAGTTTTGAATAGCACCCACAAGAAGTGCAGCCCACAAAGGCAAGATTTCACACAAAGTTCCTGCCAAGAATCCAACACTATCACCCAAATCTTTAGCCACACCCAACCTCGCAATTTGCCTCTGATTATAATTCAAAGACTTCTTAATCGTTGGAGAAATGCTGCCAAATAAATATCCAATGCCAGCACATGTCTGAATCCACATTGCAGCTACAAAAACAAGCCATCTGTTGTTAAAGAAGAAACCAACACTCTCTTTCAAATGAACCATTATTACAAGAGTCTTGAGATAGATATTCTTAAGCTTATGATCAAGTGTATGGTTTTTAATCAAAGGACCACAGACCTTGCTTTTATCATGTAAGTATGCTCACTTTCTTACGAATATAATATTTGTTTTGATTGTTACTTAAATTTTATCGTATAGTATCGTGTCGCTAAATCTCTCGTTACATAACGATAAAAAAATATCATTTTATGAAATGACCGATTTAATGTGATTGTATCATTACCTTGTTTTTCTCTCATCATCTTGCCCTTCCTTATTACTCCCTCGTTTCAGATTATGTGAACCTATTTCCTTTTAAGTCCGTTCTAAAAAGAAAGATCTCTTTCTATATTTAGAAACAATTTAGTTTAAACTTACAATTTTACCTTTAGTGAGAAGCTTTTATAACCACACAAATACTTTGGGCCCCTTTTTGACTTGTTTAGGACCACAAATTCCAAAAGTCTTATTTTATGGTTTAAAACCCTAATGCTGACTGAATGGTGCCTCGTTTCAGATTATGTGAACCTATTTCCTTTTAAGTCCGTTCTAAAAAGAAAGATCTCTTTCTATATTTAGAAACAATTTAGTTTAAACTTACAATTTTACCTTTAGTGAGAAGCTTTTATAACCACACAAATACTTTGGGCCCCTTTTTGACTTGTTTAGGACCACAAATTCCAAAAGTCTTCATTTTTTCTTAAACTTCATGTCCAATCAAATAGGTTCACATAAATTGGAACGGAGGGAGTATTTGTTTTGATTGTTACTTAAATTTTATCGTATCGTATCGCTAAATCTCTCGTTGCGTAACGACAAAAAAACACCATTTTATGAAATGACCAATTTGATGTAACTGTATCATTACCTTATTTTTCTCTCTATTATACTTTATCTTTTACCCTATCTTTTTATATAACAAATTTACCTTATTTTTTCTTCATAATATTACAAGTCTANATATATATCAAAACGAAACAGTACATTACAATACATTATGAAACGGCACATAATTGTTAATTTTTTTTTTAAAGAAGTGAAAAGAGAAGGGGATAAAGGTCGGGGACAGAGTATATCATAGTACTTTCTAGTAAGTATGATGTTTTGTCTGGTTGTAATGTACCATAATTTATGTAACTGAATGAAAAGAAAAGAATCTAGCGGAAAGGGTGGGAGATAACGATCCAAAAGAAATACTATTGAGAGTATAGAAGAAAACAAATTAAAGAGAGGGTACTGTCGCATGTAACCAGATCGAAGAGTTGTATGTTGCAGAGACACGACACTGTACGCTGAGTGGTAAACATTAACGCAGCTTCCTGCATGCTCTACTTAATTTGTGTTTACGTGGGGGCTTATATTGGCCTCCTCCTCATCACTAGTCGCTACTCACCATATGTCTTCTAGCAGTCTAAAGCTTATCTTTTTTTTTTTTTTATTTACTTTTCGTTATTCCGATGGTAAGCAACCCCCACTTCCAACCGAGAGGTTGTGAGTTTGAGTCTTCCCAAGAGCAAGGTGGGAAGTTCTTGGAGGGAAGGATGCCGGGGTCTATTTGGAAACAGTCTCTCTACCCTAGGGTAGGGGTAAGCTCTACGTACACACTACCCTCCCCAAACCCCACTAAGTGGGACTATACTGGGTTGTTTGTTGTTGTTGTTTTCGTTATTCCGAACGAGAGTCTTCAAGCAACAATAAAGTTATTTTCCTCTAACTTATATGTCACTGATGGCCCGATAAATTTTGTGGCCTAAAGCCAAACTTCATGAAGGACCTTAACTTTTTTATTTTTTATTATTTATTTGAACTCTATTTTTCTTAGCTTTTCTTATATACAAAGTTATTAATAATTTTCTTATAATCAATAACTCCTAATAAGTATTTCTCAATTGACAATATAGCTAATCCATTTAACTTTTCTTGTGACATTATTGTTCTTAGGTAAGATTTTATCAATTTTAATTTTGAAAACTTCTTTCCTTTGAAGCAATGGTAACATGAGTTATGAATATTATTCCATAAGCAATTTAGGCATTTGGAAAAGAATTAAATCTTCTTATTTGATTAAGTGTATTAATTAAACTGTTATCTTCTGATTGTACTATTTTCCTTAATACTTTTAATTCAGAAAATAAATCTAAATCATCAATATTGAATTGATTATTATGTTTTAAGGAACATTCAAGATTAAGGCAATATTTTTTCAAATTTTCAACATCTAGTGATCTTAGTTTTTACTGCCAAATAGAAAACCAACAATATTTTCATACACTTTGAATTGTTCAAATCTATTTTGAAGCGAAAAAATAGCCTTGTCTATTATGTATAAAAGTAATCAACTCTAAAGGACTCTTCGAAAGATTTTGAGATTTCATTATCAACATTCGCATCAATTGTTACTTCATATATATCACACGTTTCTTACGAAATTCGGGTTTGATATTCATTTCAAGTGCAATTTCCTTAGTAGAAATCATAGTAGTTGCAAATCCTTCTTCTCTATATTTGTTAGAAAGAAATCAAACTTTTTCACTTTACAGAAGTTTTTTTTTAAACTTATACATAGTCTATTAGGTTTAATAAAAAATGAGGCACCCACAAATATGAGGCCTAAAGCGGTTGCTTTACTTGTTTTATGGAAGGGCCGCCCCGATGTCACGGGTTTGAGTTGTGGTAGTAGACACTAATACTTGCATGTCTACATCGCATTTCTTGAGATATGGCTCTTCTCTAGATATTGAGTGAACACGAAATACCTTGTGCAACGAACTGTCATTTTTTAACTTTTTGTTATTTAAAGTGTATTGTCTTGTACCATAGGACATTTTATACTCCTAGGCGTACTTGATTTTATGGTTTAACAAGTTAATTAGTCGCTTGTTTTCTCTCTCTATATATGGTAAACTTATTAGAGATTGGAATATCTTATTACTCTGTTTATTTTTATTTATGTGAACCTAGATTGGTCACGAAATTTTAACAAAAAATTGAATTATGCGCTCTTAAACAAATCATAAAATTTGTGTGGATATAATTCTTTTGAAGCTCTTAAACATATCATAGTATTTGTGTGACTCTAAAATCGTCTCACTAAGGGTAAGTTTAAATTAAATTATTTTCAAACTTAGAACAAAAAAATTCATTTTGAAACGGACAAAAAAAATAGATTCACGTAAATTAAAACTGAGCAGATACAATCTATTTAATTAGTTTAGTTTTTAACATGTCGTCTCCTGTACGAATTCAATTCTTTTTCTTTTTGTTTTCAATAATTTCCTCTTTCGTTGGCTAACCACGCCTAGCCGACAGGCAGTAATGAAAAAACAAGGATAAAGTAAAAAAGATCAAACGTTACATTTGGATCTGAAGCTAATAATAACTCATGTTGTTTTTCTTTTATTGGACGAATCTAAACTCATGCTGTTGATTCTCCAATGAAGTAGCTAGGGGTTTACAGAGAAAATCGATAAATTGCACTAAATCGATAATTCGAGTCAAACAAAAAAAGAAAACTAATCGTGGTTTGGTCTGGTATTGGGGATCATAATCGGTTTGGTTTGATTTTAACTAAAAAAAGTCAAACCGAGCCTAAACCAATCCGACAGTACATTTATACAATTTTTTAAAATATTTTATACATAGAAATATTTATTGTAATATAATTTATAAATATTTCTTAAATTTTTTCATATGTTTTATCTTTTGAAGTATTATTTCAAGTTTGGTCTTAACATTATTGAATGGTAGATAAATTTTATAGCCCATAAATATAGTAACTCAAACAAAGTTCAAATTAATAGTATATTAACAAAATAAATTCAATTCAACACTAGGAATGACGATAGTGTTGGATATCTACTTTTTAGTTTTACATTTGGTTTGTAATGAAAATGCACAACTTAGTTAATCTTTTTCTTTAGTGCTTAGTTATGTAATTAATCGTACTTATTAGCTATACTTAATTTAGCATGACATATATAGTAATGTTAATTTTTATTATAATTTATTTATTAATAATATTTGCTTTATGTAATTTTATTATCTTTGTTATTGAATATTTTAGCATAATGCTACGACTTATCTCATATTATTGTGTTATTTTCTTGAAAAATATATTATATAGTTGTATCTCACTAAGACTAAAGAAATATTGGAGCACAAGTTACGTATTTTGTGCTATGAAGACTTTACCTGAAAAATCTGAAACCCCGAAAAAAAATCGAAAAAATTGAGAAAAATCGAGATTGAAAACCCTGACTTTATTGGATTGGTTTGGCTTATAAATTTAAAAATCATTCACCATTGATTTAATTTGGTAATTGAAAAATTCGAACCAATCCGACTTATATACACCCCGTTTCGGACCTGTTGAATCAGATTCTCGCTCATTAAAAAAGAGAAGAATTGGCAAAGTCAGCAAAGAAATTGTCATTTACGCAATAAAATACTAAGTAATAATGACGCAGTTTAATTAAAAATCTATAAATCATTATTCGAACCTAAGCTTTTCTTGAAACACTTATTGTTGTATGTGCGGTATTGAGGAAAAGAAACAAAACGAAAAGTGAAAAGGAGAGACTGAAAAGAATATTTTTCCATCATCATCAGCTCACTTTAGTTTCACTTTTAAGAAAACAAGGAGTACTAAAATAATTTTAGAGGGTGGTGCATGCCAAGCTGTTAATGAACTGTTATTTCTTCACGAAGGGGGTTCAAAATTTTTTTTTATAGCTAGTGGGAATTAAACTCATAACATTATGTAGATTCTGAACCCCCTTGACCACTAAAATACACTTTTGGATTGTGTTAAGAGTGTTCAAAACTTAATATATAAAGATAAAAAATAGATTTTATCTTATATATACAGTGTAATTTTTCGGCGAAGGGTATTCGCGTGAACACCCTTGCGCCCCCCTAAATCCGTCTCTGCCTATCAGGGTAGAGGTAAGGTCTGCGTACACACTATCCTCCTCAGACCCCACTTTTTGGGACTTTACTGGATCGTCTTGGTTGTTGTTGTGTTAAAGCAAAATCAGGAAGTTGGGAAAAGTCAGAATACAAAGGAAAATTTGAAAGAATAAAAAAGACAGAATAGTATAACTTATAATTAGTATATAGAACCCCTTTCATATCCTAATTATTCAAAATCCATTTCATTGTCCAACTTATTTAAAAATGTCATACACATATGTTAGTAAGTGGAACATATATCACACAACTCAACAATACATTAAGTTATTAAACATTGACTTAATGCTAAAATTGATTATTACAAATATACAATCAACAGACCCCATGACGTGGGATAATATTAGGTATATTGTTGTTGTAAATAAACAATCCCAAACATGAATCATTTCATCTGGCCTAGACTTGTCTCTAAATATAAGAACTCTACACTATGCTCAATGAAATATAATTATAACATCGACTACAATGTCAAAGTCGATATGTCCGAGTGGTTAAGGAGACAGACTTGAAATCTGTTGGGCTTCGCCCGCGCAGGTTCGAACCCTGCTGTCAACGTTATTTCTTTTTCTTTTGCATATATCTGAAAGCTCCTGGAAACAGCCTCTCTGTCCCTCGGGTAGAGGTGACCCCACTTGTGGGATTATACTGCGTAATATGTACGCAGAGCTGTTTCCAGGAGACCCTCGGCTCAAAAAAGCAATAGGAGATGATATATTAGTACCATAAAAATGCGTAATAAAATAAAGCTTTTAACCTCAGGCAATGGTTAAATGAATGAAAAGCCATTTTCAGGGAAGGATAATAGCATGACTATCAGTCCCCCAGATTGAAGAGTTAAACCTTAATCAGAAAAGCAAAATTCATTTGTTAAATTTAGAGAGGTATCTTGTTTACGATGATTGTAATTATTCGTAGTAAACTCTATTTAATCTGGAGAAGTCTTCTTGGACCAATGCAATTACCAATTTTTTGAGTTTGCTGATTGATATAAGAGCCCATGCAGTATTTCCAAACTTGAAACTTTAGGCCCAAGACTAAAGTAGTGATCATCCTCAGTTGGAACTTCATTTAATGAGAAACATTCCACCATTACTTACACCAAAACGGAGTCCGGAACCAAAATATGATTCTTTTGGACTCAAAGAATAAAAATGTGTGAAAAAAAATAAATAAGGTAAATAATCTGGAGTGGATGTCTAGATCAGGGTGTCGGCATCACACATATAGCATGTGTGCCGTGAGTGAAAGGGTGGTCGTAGATCAGCCCTCGCTATTTTTGAATTAAATAAAGCGGGAAAGTATAGCGTCTAGCGTCTTAATAAAAGACGCTATACATATATAAATATTGTCTTCCCCACAGTAACAAAACAAAATCGAAAAACTTGAGTGGAGCCCACCTGTCCCGCAAAAAGTAAAAAATTTCGGTCCCACATCCTAGCTAAGACGTTATCTCGTAGTGAGTTGCTCGTTTCGGCTCCAAATCACAAAATTTTCAACTTTCTAAAAATCTTAAATCGAAGTATTCCGACTTAGTTTTTGTTAAAACTTGTATAAAAATGCATATTACTTGTTTTTTATGTGTTCTATGTTATTTTGTGATTGTTTTGCGATTTAATTAATTTGTTGTTTTTATCCGACTATAGTATTAGTGTGCTAAAAAAAATCGTAAAATAGAGAAATTGTTATTAGTTGTTAAAAAAATATTGATTAGTTACTTTTTACTGTGTTATATGTATTTTCGTGATTGTTTTGTGATTAAATTGATTTGTTATTTTTATCCGGTTTAGATTATTTATTTGCTAAAAGACTAGTAAACTAGATAAATTGTTACTTTAGTTCCCTGTAGTGGTATCTTGTGGCTTAATGTAGTGCTCCTATTTGTAATGTAATACCCTTTTAGCATAGTAAAACGTCGTGCCCTTTAGCATAGTATCCTTGTAGTTAGAGAAATTAATCATTTAAGTATCTTTTATTCCCAAAAATACGTCAAAAAGTTTATAGTTCAAAACAAACTATCTCCAATTATAGTCAACAAACGTAAGAAAATAACATGAGAAAACAACAATATTTGTCAAACTAAGTATTGTTATATAAATATTTAATAATTAAACCGTGTATAGCTATGAAAAATAATTATTTAATTTTATTATAGTAAAAAATAAGTCAGTAACAAGCAAACAAACATATAAAATAATAAAGCTAACATATAAAATAATAAAATAACATATATAATAATAAATTAATATATAAAATAACGGACTTGTTGAGTGATAAATTGGGGAAATTTTCTCATTATAAACATAAGAATTCAGGATGCATTGGTGCTACTGGGCCTCAAATATTGTGTCCGGAACCAAAATGTGAATATTTAATAATTAAATCCTATATAGTTATAAAAATTAATTATTTAATTTTATTATAGTGAAAAATAAGTGAATAACAAACAAACATATAAAATAATAAAACTAATATATTAAATAATAAAACTAACATATTAAATTAATATATAAAATATAAAATTATAGTATTAAAAATATTTTAACCTAATTAACAATATAGTAAAAATATCGAATAAAATTTAATGTTAAAGGTATTGCAATATATTTATCAATGTAAAAGAAAAATGAAGTAATTAATTTTGTCCAATTTACGTGGTCATGGAGGTTCCGCTTTTGCATCTCGGACCTGCCTCACTAGAGCTACTATTGCTACAGGCCGAGTATGGGTTTTCCTACATATGGGAGGGGTAGTTAATGGACCAGACTTTCCGTGCTAGAAGAATAGATAATATGTGGGACTTTCTTAAGACTTGCAATCTCCATTCTTGTATAGTCAGACGCCTGCAGGATACAAGTTTCTATAGGATTATTGAAATTGGCCGGCTGCAGCTGGATTGGTCGTTGATCATAGCTTTGATAGAGCAGTGGCGACCAGAGACGCACACATTCCATTTGCCCATTGGTGATGCCATTATCACGCTGCATGACGTGGAGGTTCTGTATGGGCTATCGGTTGATGCACTTCCTGTTGCTTTGCCACATGCCATGAGAGAGTATATGAGAGATCAGTACCTGGAGACGTTGCAGTGCCTCACCGGTTTCCGGCCAGCAGATGAGGGTGCATTGGTTGGGGCTAGTCGTCTTGTGTTGACACCCGTCCGGCTGCATCTGGAGGCGATGCATGCTGACATTACAGATAATACACCAGATCTTCATAGTAACCGGTACACGAGGTTGTTGCTACTATTTGGAGGCGTATTATTCCCAAACACTTTGGGAAACCTAGTCAGCTTGAGATTTCTTCATCATCTTGAGCGGCTAGATAATTTACATTGGTACAACTGGGGTGCTGCTATTCTTGGTTACTTGTACTGGCAGATGTGTCGGGCATGCATGGGCACCCAGCAAGATGTTGCAGGATTTATGCTGCTACTGTAGGTGAAAATATAGTTAAATACTCTCTTCATTATAACATACATCATAAAAATATACCTTAAATTTTATGTCCAAATTGTATATAAGGTTTGGGCTTGGGAGCGGTTCGTGCAATTTCAGCCACCTCTACCACTCATAGCTCAAGATGCACCACCTCTGTCGTTTCTCCCTTTAGCTAGGAGGTGGGTTGATAAGAGAGGATACAGATGCGAGTACGAGGCTCGACATAATCTCCCTTATTGCAGGGTTTTGTTGGATTTGCTGGAGGTCGCACAGGTAATTCTATACTTAAGTTTACTTGGCCTGGATTTATATATGTTGCGTATACTCACAGTTCCTATTTTTACGTGATAGTTCATTTGGAGGCTATACAAAGACGAGCTAATAGCTGGTTTGCACGATTATTACTCGACCTGGTGACTTATATGGAGCTCTTCCATCCCGTTAATATGTCTCGATATTGTCGAGCATCATGCCACCGAACGAGTCCTTCGGCAGTTTGGTTGACCGCAACTTATACACACCGCCTACTTAGATTATAACACATTACCAGCGGGATGATCGTTCTACGATTGACTAGACATACGAGGTATGTCTAGAGATGCAGATTAAGATTTGGGATCAGCGGTGTGACCTGATTCCGCCACCCCCTCCACCCGATCTTATGGATAGTGAACATACGTATGTCAGTTGGTACCGCAGCATTACTCGACTGCTCATAGGGAATCCCCTTCATCACGCTGGCAGTTGGTTTGTTCCATATGCTGGGAGGCATGAGGCGCTGGTATGTTATTTGGTATACTTAGTTATACTGTTAACCTTACTGTTCCATAATTAATATTTTACATATTGTGCAAGTTATTGGCCTACATCCGTTCTACCAGTTGGGACTACAGATGCAGCAGCATACCAGCGAGGGAGCGGCCGCTTTGCACGACTATGGCCGGCAAGTTACAGATTTGGCTGCCCGGACATTGCAGCGAACATGGGATGATGAGCGCTTAGGCCAACGCAGTACCATCATGGGCTAGCAGTGCAACCTGAACTTAGTCGACGTGGCATGCGTGCCCCATGAGGTAAAGGTATCCCACGAGGTCGTGGAGGTCGGCGAGGAGGTGGTCCATAGTAAGGGGGCATTGAGGCACCTGTTGAGGATGTTGGAGTTGATCAACCAGGTGACCACCCTGAGCCACATCATGCTCCTAGTGATATGCCCTCATTCAACCTGCAACTTACTCCAGGGACTTCGCTGGTGACTCCGTCAGCTCTATCGTTGATCGCGGGCATGACTATTATCTCACATGACTAGGATGCGTATTTTCCTGACCCTCCAGAGGCATCTACGGTTGCTGATGCTCGTTCGGTACGAGATGTGGATAGTGGATGCCGACTGAGTTATGGCTCATCACGGAGGGATGCTGAGGATCTCCCACAGGATTTGGTTAGTTTGTATTACTATTACTTATATTTGTGTTTATCCCATTGGTTAGTCATAATTATCTAACGCTTATTTTTTTGAAGCCATCATCCTCGCCCATCACAGAGGCCACTTTGTGCGATACTGACTTGCCTGAGACGGATGATTATATTCAAGAGCCCGCTGACATGTAAGACATTTTAATTTTTTTAGCTAACACATACATTACCAATATATATTTCATATACTAAAATATCTCATTATTCTGTAGGTTACTACTGCACCGATGGCCCATTCTACCGAGCCTGCCAACTTTATTGACGATTATGCTGCAACTCATCCTCCGATAAAGAGACAACATGATGAGGATGATCCTGATAGTGTAGCCGGGAAGGATGAGATACACCTGAGGCCAGTGGCTTCTTAAAGCATAAAGGTTGTGGGACACATTGATTTTTTTTATTTTATGTACATATGACACTCAGTAAATAATAGCAACTTTATCTATGGTTTAGCATTATATGCACATTATGTTTTTATTCTCGGTTTCTTTGCTATTTTAATATAACAACTGGGCAAAACAAACATAGCAACTTAACATAATTTAAATTCGATACAACTAATAAAAATACATGATGCGAAAAATATAAAGATAAAATACTACACTCAACACATACATGTATTTGTTTAGTCACTACCGCCCATTATTCTCTGCTCCAACCACTTAAATTTCTCTTCTATTTTATTTCTTCTTCTTCCGCCTCTTTTAGTTTCTCCTGCAGTACTACAATTTCTTATTGCATTTCAGAGATCTGGCGTTGGTATTCACCGTTCATATTCCAAACATACTGCAAACTTGATTTGTAGTGTTCCTAGTTAATGAGTTCATCATACCATTCCTCAAACATGTAATTGTGAGCACGTGATTTTTGTTTACGCGACAATCACTCCAAAAGAAAAAATAAAACAAATAATTTTGTTGTACAATTTTTGGATTTTATGTAGCATTTCTGGCAGTTATTTGTAGTTTTATTTATGATTGTTTAGTTTTGTCGAACAAAATACAAAATATATATGTCGCATGTGAGTTTAGGATGTCATTTTACTATTAGGAGTTAATCAAACTACAATTTGGTTTTAAAAGGAAAATCATAAAAAAATATACGTCTTTTATTCTATTTGTTGTCATTAAATGATTTTATTTTAATTAAGGTGAGATTTGTTGTTTGAGTATTAATTAATATTTGTATGGTTTTATTTTGATTTTACAGTTTAGTTAGGAATTTTATTCAAATCAAAAGAAGGGAAAAGAAATGATTTAAATTGGAATTGGGCCGTTAAATTGGACCCAGAATTAGGGGTGGGCATATATCGAGTAAAACCGATAACCCGAACCGTTAATTACTTATTGGGTTATCGGTATTGGGTTATTGGGCTAATGGTTCGGTAACGGGTTTAAAAAAAATTCTTATTGGGTTATCGGTTCGGGCTCGGTTTATCAAATCTGTTATTGGGTAAACCGATAACCCAATAAGGGTTTACTAATTTACTAGTATACCCTTTAGTCTAGTAATACTAGGGTTTCATTTTCATTAGTCTGTCCGCCTCCTCTCAGCCTCACTAACTCCTTTCCTTTCCTCAGTTTCCTGTTCTTGAAGTCCTCACTCCTCAGTTAAGCTCACTCCGGGGCATATGTGTTTATGTTTATTAGGAGGCTCTTCAATTTTTTCTTTTTTACTTTGAGAAAATGTTGTTCTTGGTGATTCAAAGAGATAGAATGTGGATAGCATGCTGCATTATATGATAGGGCTGCTTCTCTCATCTGGTATCCTTTATAGCTAGACTGCATGATTTTGATATTACTCTACTATGCTAATACCCAAATTCTAACATAACAAACATTTTCTCAGTTTGATTTCTTTCCTCTAATTTATTTGCTGGTGGTATGTAGTGCAAGAATGATGAGGAGGTTGTTGCTGTTATTGCGCNAGGGGTGGGCATATATCGGGTAAAACCGATAACCCGAACCGTTAATTACTTATTGGGTTATCGGTATTGGGTTATTGGGCTAATGGTTCGGTAACGGGTTAAAAAAAATTTCTTATTGGGTTATCGGTTCGGGCTCGGTTTATCAAATCTGTTATTGGGTAAACCGATAACCCAATAAGGGTTTACTAATTTACTAGTATACCCTTTAGTCTAGTAATACTAGGGTTTCATTTTCATTAGTCTGTCCGCCTCCTCTCAGCCTCACTAACTCCTTTCCTTTCCTCAGTTTCCTGTTCTTGAAGTCCTCACTCCTCAGTTAAGCTCACTCCGGGGCATATGTGTTTATGTTTATTAGGAGGCTCTTCAATTTTTTCTTTTTTACTTTGAGAAAATGTTGTTCTTGGTGATTCAAAGAGATAGAATGTGGATAGCATGCTGCATTATATGATAGGGCTGCTTCTCTCATCTGGTATCCTTTATAGCTAGACTGCATGATTTTGATATTACTCTACTATGCTAATACCCAAATTCTAACATAACAAACATTTTCTCAGTTTGATTTCTTTCCTCTAATTTATTTGCTGGTGGTATGTAGTGCAAGAATGATGAGGAGGTTGTTGCTGTTATTGCGCATGAGCTGGGGCACTGGAAACTTAATCACACGATGTACTCATTCATAGCTGTCCAGGTATGGAAATTAATTCATGTAGCCCGTGCCATTAAACCAAAACAGTTATTCTGTTTTCGGTTCAAGTAGATGTTGCCGTTGTTCCATTTATATGATGTAGTTTATTTCTCTTTAAGAGATCGTGGGACTAGTTTGACTTATTATATTTATGAATGTAGATAAGAAACAAAGTTGGTTTCCGATTTTTGTACAAGGTTGGTTCCTAAAGTTGTCAGAAACAGAAACTTGAGTCTTTTTTGATAAATTTGATCTGTTGAAACATGAATAACGTGCACATTATTATCATTTGCAATAACAATTTTTGATCTGTTGAACATGTAAATAGTGTATGTACCATTATCATTTATACATGTGACCCATCTGTTTGATATATCCAAGCTATGTGAATCACTTTGATATAACTTTTTTTGATGAGTTAAAACTTTACTAATATGCATCTGATTTCACTATCTTATTAGGGGATATTTATCTGGGGATTATAACCTGCCTGCCTTCAGCGTTCAGCAATCAGCACTCTTAGTTTTAGTTTTTCCTTATCGGGTAAACCGATAACCGAACCGATAATAATCAATAACCGATTAACCGATAACCGATAACCAATATCTTATCGGTTTGGTTATAGGGTTATGATATTTGTAAACCGATAACCGATAGGCAAAACCGATAATATTCAAAACCGAACCGAACCGACCGATGCCCACCCCTACCCAGAATCAGGCCCAAAAACACTATTGTGCCCGGTCCAGGCCAGTTTGGCCTCAGGGGTATCCCAACGACGTCATTTTGGTCATGCCTGATCTGGGTTGTTGATCTCAAAAGGATCAACGACCAAGATCACATTCTCATACCCACATTTAAACCCGACCCGTTCAACCCCGGACCAACCTAACCCCTTGCATTTGAAATGACACCGTTCCTCACCAGCTGAAAGATCTGGCCCTTCATCTCGCTTCATCCGACGGCCAGGATCTGATCACTCACTAACTATATAAATCCAAAACCTTACCCCACGCCCCCATCCAAACACCCTCCTTCATCGTCCCAAACACGGACCTCCCAAACCCTAGCCGCCCCTGTGCACCTTCCCCGTAAAGCCGGCGGCAAGGACGCCGATGACCACCACCTTAACACCCTAGGACCACCCAATCACCCTGAATCCAAATCCACCAACCGTTTAGTTCGAATCAATCCCTAGGTTCTCGAATCTTCATTTGAAGATTCGAGCCGGACTTCGATCTACACCAAACCACCCCAAATTCATACCAGGTATCCCCTTGACCTTCCTCGTGACCAAACCAAGCTTGGTTGGTCCGAATCTACCCACAAATCCCAAAAACCCAAATCTGAAGATTCAAACCCTAGAACACAAGAGTTTATGGAATCTGCTTGGATTTAAACGGAAGTTTGGGGTCTAATAGACCTTAATCGAATGTGTTCTCGGTCGAGAACACCTCAATTAATATCTGTTCCACCTCGGATGGGCAAATCAAGCTCGGGCCTGGGTCATCTGTGTTTAAGCTGTTCTGGTTTGTTCACTTTTCCCCTTTGTTGTCTATTTTAGTTTAGATTAGTTTGTCAGCATGTTTAATTAATTTGTTTGATTATTTCCGGCATGTTCTTTCAATTCCCCCCTGTCTTCATGAGACCTTTTATTTGGTCGAGTTTTTTTTTCATTAATTGATCAAGTGTATGTGTGTAAACTATTCAATCGATTGAAAATACATTGGGTCGATGAATTAGTTTCAGGTTTAATTTTGTTTTGGGCAGTACAATTTGCACCCCTTTAGTACTATTTGATTCTGATTCCTTTGGTATGATTTGAATGAAAGCATTGTAATTCACACAGTCGATTCAATACATGTCGTCCAACAGTTTCTGTTTGGGATAATAGTAATTTGATTCCTGTCGGTTTGATTTTATTCAAATCAGTTGAGAATTGATTGTCATTGTGTGTTAGTCTCCNGTGTTAGTCTGTTTAGCTAAGTCAGAAAGCATTTAAGAATTGATCTATAGCTGCAGTCTAGGTTAGATTTCAGACTTTGGTTTAAATTGATAGCATGTTCACCTAGTTTAGGTTTTGGGCAGCATGTGTTTTGTCAGCTGCTAAGGAATTAGAGTAAAATGGACAGCATGTGCTGTCAGAACACACCCCTGCTGCCCATACATGTTCAAACTAATAAAATGATAAACCATTTTAATAAGAGGAGATGGTCTGTCAGGGGAATCTGATGGGCTATCTTTTCTTTTAAACTGGTGAGTGGAAAAACAGAAGAGGCCACATGGGAGGGGGTTCAGTTTGTCTAAGAGGCTTTTAAAGTGGTCTGATAGGGGATAAATAGAGGGGGTTTTCCATTAGTTAGGGACATATATAGACACATAGAGAGAAATAGATACATAGATTTGAAAAAGAGAGAGATACAGACTGAAGTTAGAAAATTAGGAGAGAAAATAGTTCTGAATTAGAAAGGGTCAATCAGACAGTAGAGAGTTCAGGGCATTAGTTCTGAAAATCAGAAACCGTTTTCCCAGTGTTATCTTGATTTCACCTTTTCGACCTGTTGATTAACATTGGTATTTCCAAGTCCCAACTGAGTCTACCGGGTGCTTGTTTCATTGGCCTGTTTCTGGGTTTGTCCATCTGGGGTCTTGGTTCTACTCTGCTGTTTTGCTGCTGTCATTTTTGCTACTGCTTTCCATCGGTTATAGTTGCATTCTTGCACTGGAATCTGTTCTGCTGTTATTTATTGCTACTGCTGCTGTTCGTTGCTGTTTATTTGTGGTCACTGCTGCCATTTGAGTCGTGGCTGACTTTCTGCTTCCATCTTCTTCTTCATTTGTAAGCATTTCCAGGTACATATTTCTGACACCATGTGTTGATGTTAAGCTTGAGGTTGGAGTTTGAAATGAATAAAACGAATGCTCGTCTGCTTCACAATATCTATGCTCAAGATGTAGTAATAGGATGAATGATAAAATAGTTTGTGATTGTTTAAGCTCATCCTAATTGTATTTACTTTGTGTGAATCGGAACGTACTCAGACGCGATTTTGGGACTGTTAAATAACACGGTGCTAGATCGATTAGACATGTTTTCATATGTTTTAGCAATCTAGTTTGGTTGGTAATGATTATATAACACAGAACATTAGCGGGCGTTTGTATGTATCTCATTGGATCTTCGAATCATTTTGTCATGGCCCGATCCAGTTTGATTTTAACATATGTCTCAAGCAAACTTTCATATTACGTTAGTTTAATGCCAACGGACTAATCATTAATGTCAAACTCCCTTGTTTAAATTCCATGTTTCAATAGAGGTTAAATAGCATAGATTAATAATTGATGTTAGCATTCGGCTCGCCATTAAACGAAGTGGCTACTAATTTTATAGAATCGGTAGGTTTTACATATTTGGAGTACGAATCAATATTGCAGGGTTAAAAGCTTTAATTTAATAGGCGTGAATCTAGCAAGATGGCTTAAAATTTAGATCTAATAAACTTTCGAATAAACACTAAGACTCAAGGTTAATGCTTAGTTTGACTAGTCAAAAACAATTATTGGTCTATCCACATAATTATGTGAAGCTAATCTAGTTATAGAATAATTAATTTTCTTTGGATATATTCTTTTGTCGATTTGTATTCCCTTATAATTTCCAATTTTAAGTAATATTCTTTTCCGTTAATATTCGTCTTAATCTAGTATGTAAAATGATGACTTGTAGCATGTTATCTAAGTAAGATTTTCCTTTTTCTCTTCTTATTTTAGAAACAAATTAACAGAAATGTAGTCACTCTAGAATATCCTTAAAATAAATGAGACGAGTCTCGCCAAATAAAACGCAAATCGCGGGGCCCTCAATAATCGATCATAATAAATACTTAGAATTTGGGAATGACTGTTTAGTGAATTTCACTGTCTTCCCCAAAGATAATAACGCGTTAGGCTCTTTAGGCGCGACCTAATTAAATTACATTCTTAAATTCGGGTGCGCATTTATGTGACCCAAATTCAAATCTCAACGGAATCGAAATGTGTTAATAACTACGGGTGCATTGATTGTGACGTGGTTCGAGATGCATTTTCACGATGTTGCAATTCTATAAAAAATAAATGATAATAATAAAAACGGTTTAAACTTAATAAAAGCACATAAGTCACGACATGTATTTAAATCAGATATTTAGTCATTATAACAATTTAAGCGACCGTGCTAGAACCACGGGATTCGAGAGTGCCTAACACCTTCCTTCGGGTCAACATAATTCCTTACTTAGAATTTCTGGTTCGCAGACTTCATTTGGAAAAGTCGAAAATTTCCTCGATTTGGGATTCAAGATAAACCGGTGACTTGGGACACCAAAAACCAAACCTTTCCTGAGTGGCGACTCTGAATTAAATAAATAATCCCATTTCGAATATTGTCACTTAAATTGGAAAAACTCCCTCGCGCATTTAACCCTTCGGGGCCGGACGCGCAAAAAGGAGGTGTGACAATAATGATTTCCATCATTTCGTCCAAACAATTGTTGACACATCCAGTATCTGCGCCAACATTACCATCAGACCAATATGTCGTTTGCCACAATAGCACCTTGGTTGGTCATTGCGTCCAGACATTTGTTAATGCAAGAAAAATGAAAAATTTATGGAAAGTTTTGTTATTTGTTTTGGTTAAGCGCAAATAATAACTAAAATGCACTAGTCATTTATAGGCAAGAAAAAAGAACATAACGTGGTAATTAACTGCTCTATGCTTCACATGCTAGTGATTCTTTATGGTACAATACAACTTTTCCAGAAGATATCATTTCCAGAACGACAGCTCTATCAGGTTGACAAGACAATACACATAACGTAGTATGTAACTGTGCTATGCTTCACATGCTAATGATTCTTTATGGTACAATAAAGCTTTTCTAGAAGACAACTTTTTCATAACGATGGCTTTTTCAGGTCGACAAGATAATATACATAACGTGGTATTTAACCGCGCTATTCTTCGCGTGATAATAATTATTTCGGGTATAAGAAAGCTTCTTAAACTAAACCAAGTCATATGTACTTCAAAGACTTTTTGAATAAACATTACAACATCCATTAAAAAGTTCCACTAATATTTAACAAGTGGTTCAAAAAGAAGTAAAATATGGCGAAAGACAATTTTTTTTTTAAATGGGTTTATGTTAGATTGTTGTACTGGAGTATTAATGTTAAATATAAAAAAAATTTAACATTAATGGAAACATAATTTTATTTCATACATTCTGCAAGATAAACAAGTACATACACTTATTACAACCACATTACTGAAACAAAATACTACGTGTATCCTTGATAGTTGGGTACATTAGAAGAACTTTCACCAGGAGCTGGATTACTACCGCCACCCAAACCAGCTGAAGGACATTTACAACAGTCGTGTCCTGTTTGCGAGCATATGCCACATTTACGCACATAAACGGTATCACCAACATCCATTTGGTTATGTATACGTGTTCTTTTTTGCACTTGTAGCTTACGCAAATACTCCTTGTTATACACAATTTTAAATGATTCCGGTGGCCAATAATGCTCAGCACCCACTAGCTGCAACTGTCCACTATAGGTGTTTAAGTATGCAGCAATACTATATTCCTTATCAACATAGCTGGTTGCCGCGAAGCTTGTATGTTGAAAGTACTTCATGGCATGTGAGCACGACATGTGGTAGATGGACTATTTCCCATAAGAACACAACCTTCTGGCTTCATTTATAGTGCGTGTATTATTCCCCCAATTTTGATGAATAGCGGTGCGAATTTCAAAAATATTTCGCTCGTTGCAATGTTGTAAAAATAAATGCCAATGTGCTCGCCTCCTGTATTTCTTAAATCTTTTTATTGGTATTGGCATAAATTCAACACCCCTTTCCATCAATGACGATGCACCTCTAGCCCTTTCAACAAACCTTTCCGCCATTTGTTTAAATGACATCCGCACCATGGCAGTGACAGACAATTCACGTGCAGACTTCAATAACCCATTGAAAGACTCTAACATATTTGTAGTCAGGGTTCCCCACTATCTGCCACCATCTGCATGCAATGTTCACTTGTCAAGCTCATGTCACATCAACCAATGATATGCTCCTTCGTTTTCCTGCCTGATTGATTTCATGCGCCTCCTGAATTTGCACTATTAGTGATCAGTTGCAGCCAACCACAATAAACCATGCAAGTCCCTGTTGGGATGTGCCTTCTGGATATTGGCCTTCAGGTGCCTCACATACTAACATTGGTAGAACTTAAAATATCACCATGCCGATCAGATATAACACAAATACCTGAACGTTAGTTAACAACATGCTCCTTCAAGTAGTTCAAAAATAACGTCCACGTCTCTTGGCTTTCATTGGCACAAATAGAAAAAGCTAGGGAAAATATACCTCCATTACCATTTAATGCAACAGTGATCAACAACTTAATATCATACTTTCCATAGACATGAGTGTCGTCTATGGATATTACCGGCCGGCAATGCACAAAACCATCAATTGCTGGTTTGAAGGCCCAGAATACATATCTAAATATATGTTCTCGTATTCCAGGACTCCGCTCAAGCTTCCATTCAACAATAGTCCCGTGGTTAAAGTGTTGCAATGCGGCCATGTACCTGGTTAGAGATGAAAATGACTTATCCAAGTTACCGTAAATAATTTTAAATGCACGTTTGCGCCCGAGAAATACCTTTCTTTTGGTAATGGCATACCCATATTCCTGGTGGACAGATGTAATACACTCTTTGATCTTGTACCTTATGGAGGCTTCAATGTGTGGAATCAAGACAAGAGAAATCAAGTCAATATCCAAGTTAAAGTGATTCCCACTAAATATATCCATTTCACAATTGTGGGTGCCAATGTATTTACCCACAACCCACATATTTATTTTCTACTTCCTCTAACGCAACATCCAATTACAACCCGTAAACCATCTACCAGCAAACAACCTTGTATACATCCGGAGATGACTCCCATACCATTATCTCATGCCACTCTTTTACGCTGTACATTTTTACCGCCCTGCTTAGGCGCGCTTTATTAGGAAAAAGCATGCCCTTTGACAACATCGTTGATCTAGATTCATCCCACATTACTGCTCGAATTTCGTCAATATCCCTTGTGAGGGCATCCACATCCGGCATACTTGACAAATGATCAAGGTATGGAATATGCCTTCAATGAAACGACACTTGGGACTCGTACACTCTTGGTCTAACGGGAGGTGGAGCATGCTCCCTCGTCAAATCAGGTTAAACATTCTCTTCCTCCTCCTCATCACCCTCGTCAGGGAAGGGTGTGTCATCTCCAAACTCATCGGCATTATTGTCATAATCACTATTCTCTTCCTGACTTTGCGCATATGCTAAATCCCGATTAAATATGTCATTTTCGGGCAATTGAGTAAGGATAGGACCATTAACTTGCTCGTTTTCATTGAACAACCGAAGAAATAATGAGTTACTCAAATTGGTCCAAACAATACATATAACTTTACTATTCACTTACAAATCATAATGTGTTGATATCCCATGATGCACATTATCTTGTTGATGCTGACTCCCGGATTGACTATCATGATCCAACACACCAAAATTAGGTATATTCCAACTGCCCGTTAGTTCATAACTTGTAAAAGTCATATCTGGTTGGTACCCTTTGTGGAATATATGAGTGTTAATACAAATACAATACACAAAAATATACATCGCAATACAAAGGAAAATTAAAGTTTACCACTAGGCTAATGGATTATGTAAACCAGGGGAGAAATTATTTCTTCGCTCCTCATTCGCCCGTGGAGATAAGCTTAGATCCAGCCATTGTTTTAGAAATAAACTCTGCATTTCGAAGCCTTAAAAACCTCTTTATATCTTACCTCAATTTGCGTGCACAGTCCGAGCACGTAACTGGAAAGCCATTATGTGCAAATACGTGAAAAATGATGAATTTTGCTTTTAAAATGAATTTAAGTTGAATTCAGTCAATATTTTGGGTAAACGGACCCAGACCCATGATTTGATGGTCCCAGAGGGTCCGTGGAAAAATATGGGACTTGGGCGTATGCTCTAAATTGAATTCCGAGGTCCCAAGCCCGAGAAATTAATTTTTAAAGAAAACT